ATTGTAATGAGTTGTATGAGCCCCTAATAAAATGATTAAAAGAAAAAAGAAAAAAATTTTAATATTTTTATTTTGCTCTGATCCAGTATATAGTCAATTTCCTGTGGTAAGAAAGAAATGGTAAAGCAAAAAAATCTATGCATTTGCTAATGACCAAACTCAAGAGTATACTGACAATATGCTAGTGCCCTGGGCCCTGTTCCATCTAGCCTAGAAAGTGCCTGACAATACTTCTGTCAATATCTTCATCATACCTCACAGGCTTGTCATGCCTTATATCATTTCAAGCTTACCATCTGTCTCCTCATGGTCTATTCTCAAGAAAAACCACACAATCATCATTCCATATACAACTTATAATCTCTTGTGGGCATCTAACTTCCAGTCTAAAGGTATCCTCTTGAACTGATTACATCCCTCTTATCTACTCAGGCATTAAGTTATACTAAGTTTCCTCTCTGACTTGTATCACAACCTTTCCCCATCACAATGGTTCTCAACCTGTGGGTTGAACGACCTTTTCACAGGGGTCACATAAGACCATCTGAAAACATATTTCCGATGGTCTTAGGAACAGAGACACCCCTCCTCTATCTGTCTCCAGGCGGTCTGCCCACACGCAGATATGCTGATCTGGTGAGAAAGAAGCTATCTCAACCTTCTCACTGACTTGGCTTTTTATGCAGACTGTTGTAAAATGTAGCAATGTAGTTCACTGTTGTTACATTAAGACTGTTACCTATGCTACACCATGCTTCAAGACAAAATTTAATTTATTTGTAATTAGAAATAAATATTTCACAATATATAATTACATAGTTTTTGTGATTAATTACTATGCTTTAAGTACGTTCCATTTGTAACAATGAAAATACATCCTGCATATCAAATATTTACATGATGATTCATAACAGTAGCAAAATTACAGCTATGAAGTAGCAATGGAAATCATTTTATGGTTGGGGGGGTCGCCACAACATGAGGAACTGTATTAAAGAGTTGCGGCATGAGGAAGGTGGAGAACCACTGCCCTAGCATATGCTCCGGGTATGTCTCTCAATCCTTTTGTTGTGGTCACTCTACTCTAGAGTTAACGGATACCTAAACTAGAGTTAGCAGGCACTTAAATACATTAAGTGCTTACAAAACACTTTTGGTGATCTCCAGTTCTTCATGCTCTTTAAATATTATTTATCTCAAGATTAAAAACTTTAATTATCCTTTCATTCCAACTTCATTTGGTGTTTTCCAAAAACTTCTATTTCACCATGAACTTACTCTCTGTAGCCATAAAACAGGTACATGCATACTACATTGTATGCTAAAAAGTAGGAGTAAAATAATCATGTGCTAAGTACACGTCCCTAAGAAAATTTTATATTAGACATGCACATAAGAAATTTAAACTTTAATAAATACATATATATGAATATAACAGGCATGAAAATTTTGTAGAAAACAGAATGGAAAGACAATGCAATTTACCCATGGAACTTTAAAAAGTTACGTTGCATATATGTGTGTCTTAGTTATCTAGTATAGCTATAGCAGAAATAGCCCAAGTGAAAACTTTAATACACAGAAATTTATTTCCTCACAGTTTAGCAGGCTAAAAGTCTGAATTCAGAAGTCTGGCTTTAAGGAAAGGCTTTCTCTACATGTTGGCTCTGGTCTTGTGTATTTAGCTTCTATTTCTAGGCATCTATGCTTGCCTGGGTCTAGAATGTTCTCAGCACAGGGACTCCAGATCCAAAGGACATACTCCAATCTTGGTTCTTCTTTCTTGGTAGGAGTGAAGTCCCTCTCCTGTTTTTTTGCTTCTTTTATCTCTTGTATGATACAAGGTTTGACTCAAGCAAGGGTGGTGACTTGAGTAATGATGGTAAATCAAGATACATCCCACACTAATCCTGCCTTGCTAACATAGCTAGGATTTACAACACATCACAATACGGAAGTTAATTAACACCAGATAACATAATGGAGGGTATCCATATAATACTGGGACCCATGGTGAGTCAAATTGATACATATTCTTGAGAAAATCAATTCAACCCATGACATACCACCCTTACCCCTGAAAATTTCCTGTCTTTGCCAAACACAGTCACCCTATCACATCTTCTGGATCATCTAAATTCAATATAGGTGAGGCTTTAGACAAATTGTACCCTGAGGCAAAATTCCCCTTATTTTTGAACCTCTGACATTTAGATGGCAAATTATGTGTCCAAAGTACAAGGGTGGAACATGATCAAGATAGACATTCCCAGTACAAATGAGATACATTAGAAGGAAAGAAAGGATAATGACCACTAACCAAGTCCCCAAACCAGGAGAACAATTTACTTTACCAACAGAAGTTTGAAAATACGCATTCGAGGTTCTATAAGACTCTGGGTGTTGTTCACGCTCCCTGAATTCTGAGTGAAGGCCTCTGGGCCCGAGCTTCAACTCTACCTTCCAAACCCAACAAGATGGCAACTCTGCCCCCTTGGCTTGTGATGGTCCAATTCTTCTATCCCCTAAGCAGTGACTCTACTCCCTCTAGCCTACCCCGAGTCTTCTGCCCCTTGGGCAAGGTAGCCCCACTCTGTCAGCTTAGGGTGACAGTCACATCTCCCTGAACCCAAGGTGGCAAAGATCAATGTGACTCTTTAAAACTTAGGAGGCTACAGCCACATCTTTTGAAGCCCCGCAGGCCATGGCCTCACTCTGAGACATGAGGCAATGGTTCTTTTCTTCTCTTGAAGACAATAGATGTAACCCCCTTGGCCCGTTTTCTGACTATTGAATCCCAATAGGCAGTCAACAATCTTATTTTTCATTCTGTTTCTGTGCTCTTCAGTTTACCCTGATGGATTTTTGCTGTGGTAGCTGGTTAGGTCCATCAGTCATAGCCTTAATCTCTGTACCGAACGTTTGTGTAGCCACATCATAGGAGGCAATTCTAGGACATCTGTCCATTTTGTACAACAGAGTTTCCCAAATCAATATGTTCTGTTTTCATTTTAAAACCCATTTCCCTCTTGTATAAGTGAGAAGGATAAACCATGTGACACCCTATAATAATAGCTTAGAAGTGCCAAATAGCAAGTTGATCTCTTAGAATTGCTTGTTTGATAAAAATTCTATTTTCTGTCACATTTGAACTAATTTTGACAAGTTCTTTACCACTGCACCTTTCCTCCATTGTCCTTTCATGTGCTCACCGTTAACTTTTAAAACTTCGACAGAAGCACATTTAACAGTCACTTTTCCAACACTATGTTGCCAGCAGCATAGGTATTTTCTAAGATGATAGAGACTCTATATATAGTTCTCCTCACTTCCTTCTGAGACTTCATGAGAATTGGCTTTGACTTCCATAATCCTACTAACAATCTCTTCACGACATTCCAGGCTTTTATAGTTAGGCACCATAAAACTCTTACAACATCTGCCCATAACCCAATCCCAAAACTTCTTTCATATTTAGGCTATATGGTGGAGCACTCCACGCTTGGTATCAATTTTTTAGGTATCTAGTGCTGTTGTTACAGAAGTATCACAAGTGGATGGCTTTAACAAATATAAATTTATTTTCTCATAGTTTAGGAACTTGAAAGTCAGAATTAGGAACACAAACTCTAAGGGAAGGCTTTCACTCTGTCAGCTCTGGTTTGTTTCTTCAGTTTCTACTTCCTGGTTTTGTGGCGATCTTCATATGATTGGACATCTATCATTCCCTAGGTCTAGGAGGGTCTAACCACAGGAAACCAAGGTGCAAAAGATGTGCTCAACTTGAAGCTTTCTGTCTCAGTAGCAGTAAGGTCCTCTTCCTCTGCTCTTCTCTTGCTCCTTTTATCGCTTATACGAGAAAAGGTTAGACTCAACCAAGAGTGTTTGACTTGAGTTAAGGGTGGAGCCTTACGATTCACAGCACACTGATCCGACCTCAATAACATATAGAGGGTAGGGTTTATGATACATCAGTTAGATAATGGAAGATAGTTATATCAGATCACAAAACGGAGGGTAACCATCCATGGCCAAGCCAAGTTGACACATTTTGAGAGACACAATTCAATCCATGGCAACATATAACAGAAAGTCCTCAAAAAAGCCATGTACATTTTATAAAGTTAATTACTATGTCAGGTTGTTAGTATCTTGAATTCAGGTGAAATTGAACTTAAGGCCTAAGAACTGATAAACTTATTCTACTAACCTGTTAAGCCAAACCACTCACTGTCTTTTCAAAAAGTCAGACAAAGAATTAACAAAATAAACATTATTTAACAAAGAGGTTAGATGAAATCAATTTACACATAACTCTGGAAGCTTCGTTTTCCCGCTATTTAAAAGGAAGGAAAGTCAAAGATACACTAATCTAATTTAAAAATTAATTTCGTTGCTTTAAAAGTGCTATCAAAAGAAAGCATACTCACCTCTTCGATTAACTTTTCATGTGGTGAAGATGTACAAAGACAGACAAGGTATGTTTGTTTAAAACCACCTTTTGTACCAATCTCTGGATGGTCAGAACACAGCTTTGCCAGAGCAGTTGCTTGACTTAACTGATTTGTTTTGATCAGGTGTTTAATTCTCATATCCAACAAGACGGGGCCCTCAAAAGCTAAAAATTCATTCACTTTAAAAAACAAGACATAATAGATTATTAACAGTTGGTAATCAATCACTTGCAATACAAATACTTAGAAGGAATATTAAAACAAAAAATGTGCACGAACTAAATTCTTGAGTGTTTTTTGCATGTGATTTCTTAGTATAGCTAAGAAGTTTATCATGAAAGAATGCTTGCCCTTATGAAACAAGAAGTTACCTCACTAACATCTAAATGGTGCATCAAACATTTTGCCCCTTGGAATGCTACTTAGAATTAGGTGATGACTAAAATATTTCTGCATTAAATTCTAATAGTCAATTATTAAAATTATACTAATTTTTCTCATCCCTAGAAATGTGTAATAGGTAACCCCAAAAGGTTATTTTGATATTCTAGATGAAATCCAACTATTATGTTCTTCCATATTGATAACTTTTCCCTTCAGAAAGCCTATTTTTTTCTAGCAAGTTTTTAGAATACATTTATCTACAAAGTTGGGGGCGGGGGGAGTTAGCTGAACGATGGACTTCATAAAACTTTGGTGTGTCTGTACTGCTTTTATAGAGTTCTCAGTCAATCTAAACCCCTGCTAAATGTCTACTTATGGTAAGTGGGACAGAGATAAGACCACTGCTTTTGTAAAGGAGCAGTTTCACTCTGGTACACTATCGGGTTGGTAACAGTCAGAATCAACTGGATGGCAATGGGTTATGTTTGGTCTTTAAAATATTGAATTTCTATATGTTCAAATCCTTGAACTTTCTGGTGCTTGTCTGACCATCTAAAAGGAAGAATTTGCTTCTTACTTTTTGTATTTGTGAAGTCTCAGGAATTTACATTTTAACAAGTATAAATCAAAATGTTACACAGTTTCCTTTACTAGGATGAAAATCATGCTTAAAACTCTTTTTTGGAGATGGCTAACTTGAAAGTCTTTTAATAATAAAAACTTTAAATGCCTTTAAAAGCAAAAAAAAAAAAAAAAAAAGTTTGCTCTACTTCTAAACAAAGTGGAAGATATGCCAGAAAGGAATTTGTGAGTTAGAAGCTGGAGAAGATGAGAGATTTCTTCCTATCATAAGTATCCTTTGCTAACTTCTACTGCATTTGTATTTTAGATTTATAAAAGGATCATCTATCAGGTATAAAGGTCATGGCTCCTCAGTGTCAAAGACAGGACACATTATATAAGCAACTCAATACAGGGACTTTAAGTTCCATTTTCTTCTTAATGTTTAGGGCTTTCTATCTGCTCCCCTTTATTCTTTACATGAGGCTAAAGTAAGAAGTTAATGACAGGCCCAGGACTATATTACAGGATCTTCAGACTTCAACCTTGATACTTTTGAGTACAATGAGGGAAGAAATTCATTTGACAAAGTGTCTACTTCTCATTTATGTGCTCTATAGCAATAAAGAGCTGTGAAGTACCATTAGCCTTAAAAAGAAAACAATTATGGATTCTGAAGCTCATGATCCAAATGGATCAGAAGTAGATAATATTCTAATAAACTAGAACCTACTGAAAGAAAGCTCACTGGCCCACTGCCCACGGCCCCATGCTCCTTCATTTCTTCTTCCCAGCTCTGTCTACTCCCCGTTCTCCTGCTGTGGTCTCCATGGTGTCCAGTCCAGGGCATAGTTTCCCTTACAGAGTTATACTACAAAGAGGAAGGGAACTACTTTACTGTTGGCTGGGCTTACTGAAATGAGTTTTATGATTTCTATCCTTGAGCAACTGAGTTGCATCAAATTTCACCCCTCCACTTTGCTTTTCCCACTTCTAGGTCAGGAAAGCATAAACTAGTTTGATTCCACTTATGTGTAGCTTTTTTGTCCATTTTTCGTGTCCCTTTGAATAGAAAGGCTTTATTGCATTTAAACCTATTAAGAAAGCACAATGACGAAGGTGGCGATGTAAACGAATGGCAGTCAGTCCAATTAAGAAATAAAATAGCATTCTTTCCATAAACAGCCATTTTCATAATAAAAATATATTTAGATCAAAGATAATTCATTTTAAGCATACTGTAGTAAATAAGTTGAATTCTTAAAATAAATGACATTCAGATATTGGAAGATCAATCTGTTAGTCTTTTATATCTACTCTTAATACACCTCCCATTTATATTTCTCCACAAGGAATTATGGGTACTTTTTTTTTAAAGCAGTGTTGAAGGTTTTCCTCCCTCTTAAAACTCTTCAATGATGCTTCCTTGTCAATTTCAAATTTATGAATCGTGTTTTAATTTTCTCTTTGCGAAAAATCCTGCATTTCTGATTAAAAAATTCAAACTTAGAAAATTTAATTTAAAAATACCACTTTAAGTTGGAGATCAGTGGTTCTGAAACCTGGCTGTCTAATTACCTGGAACATCTAAAAAGTACTAATGGATGGGCTCACACACCCAGAAATATTTGAAACTCTCTAGGTATTTTAAGCACCGCCAGAGTTGAGAAACACAGATCTAGATGACTATATTTCAGTGCCTAAATTACCAATTATTGAAACCTATGACCACACATTATATAACCTGGAAAATTTGTTATATTAATGAAAGAATGAGAATGATAAAGCAAACTGCCTTATAGTTATGAACTTTTAGACCTCCTGAGTCTTTGCTGAGTGGTGTAAACTAGGTTGTACTTTCTTCAAAAACTAACCCAAAGTGGATTGTATCCCTAAATGTAAAAGGAAAAACTATACAACTTCTAGAAGAAAACACAGGGAAAAAATGCGTGACTTTGGGTTTTAGATACCACACCAAAAGCACAAATCATGAAATAAAAAATTGGTAAGTTGGACTATATCAAAATTTAAAACTTCTTAAACTAACAATAATCTAATTCTAAAAATGGACAAGAGATCTGAGAAGGTGTCTTAACAAAAAACAAAAAAGCCTCTACAGATGATAAATATGCAGACAAAATAAAATACCCAATATAAATCTATCATTATGAACATAAAAATAAAAATGCAATATCCCTTCACCCGATATTACCCACTGCCGTCAAGTGGATTCTGACTCATAGAGATCCTAAATAGGGTTTCCAAAGCTCCAAATCTTTATAGAAGCAGAAAACCCTATCTTTCTCCATTCGATCTGGCAGTAGGTCTGAACTACCAACCTTGCAGTTAGCAGTCCAACACTTAGCCCACTGTGCTAATAGGGTTCCTTATACAGTTAGAATGGCTAAAATTCCCCAGACAATACAATTTGCTGGTGATGGTGTGTGTGGGTCAATAAAACTCTTTCATTACTGACAAGAATGCAAAAAATACAACCCTTGTTATGGTCTTTCAACAAGACCTTACAGACTACAAGGAAAACCATATACAAAAGACAAATGGCTGCTTTTGGTAAAACAATGATAACCAAAGGGTATTAGTGAAAAGACTAAGGCAAGGGAAGATTTCTATAAGTAACTCCAGGATTCAACTTTTAGACATGTCCTTCTTAAGATATCTAAGATATGGATATAAATAGTGTATGTACTTATAAAATCTGCTGGGCAAAGTGGAAAGGATAAAAACCTTCAGCAAGGGTGTGGAGTGGGATGAAGATTCAAAAGGATTAACAAGCAGGGGAGACAGTGACTATTATAACAGTGAAATTTAAATGTGAGAAAGATGTAATAAACATATGGGTCAAAAGGCAAAATGTGTGTCAAAAACAAAAAGAAATTATTATAGGAGACCATTTTTTAAAATGAAGACATTGTCCAAACCAATTTTATGTGTGCTGAATAAAAAAATGACAACGATTATGGAAGGTATCATTCAAGAGTAACATATTTTAAAAAACCCTTTTTGATTTTAATAACCTCACTGAGTTGTGAGATTCCTAATCACTAAATGCTAGTGACATGACAGATCACACTAAATGAAAATCATTACAACGAAAGAGTGAGTTATATTAACCAAAAAGCTGGCCAGATCATATTTGGGTACAGATTCAGTACTGAGAATTCCCATTAAAGGGAGAAACAACATGTGTAAAAATGCAGTCAGAGATCAGAAATCATGATTGTGGATTTATATGCCACACCAAGACAGCCTTTTTTTTTTTTAATCAACCAGTAGATAATACAGACATGGTGGCATGGTGGTTATCTTTTAAAATCTCAATGATTACTAAGTAAAAGAGGGATTTACACTATGGTACGGGTGGACGAGTAGAAGTAAAGACTAAAGATGGAGCACAGAAGAATGCAATTTTCACAACATATATGCTCTAAAACAAGTTAAGCATAGACTAATCTACAGTTATCATTCCCTAGAATCTCCAAGCAAAAACTGATTTTATTAATCAGTGATGTTACAGAGAAGTAAGCCTTAGGCAGCTGATCTAAATGACCATTATATGCCCTTCCAGCACAATTATAACAAAAGAAAAGGGCAAGCAACATGTTGGGTAAGCCTAAAAGTGCCTCTGTCATTAAAATGAGTCATAGTGGTTTAATTATTAGTGACCTCATAGGTAAAGTTTTTTTTTCCCTTTTCTCCCTACCCCCCATAGACAAAGTTCTATGATGCTTAAATCTTTAAAGAAAAGCCAGAATCCTTAAATTTTAATTCTACCCACCTTCAGTGCTTAAAATCCAATAAGCAAATTATTTGGTCAATCTTGTTTAAGTAGGTCCAGAATTATTCAATTAAAAAAATTAAAATGAAAACCCAAAGCAATTCAGGACTAATCAGATAATCCACAATTCAACTATACTAAATTGTCAAAGGCTTTCACTATACATAAGGAAATTAGTACAACCCATAGAGGTATCCTCGTTAACCTCTGGGCTCTAGCTCTCCTCTTTCCAACACATTATGGCTGAAATTAAATTAAATCAAGGGTCTCTGGGTATAAGAGCTAAAAGTTTTTTATTGATGCACCACCATTTGAAATTTTGAGGCCCCTCATATAAATAACATACCATACATACTTGTGTAGAAGCTGAGTTTTCCATCACATTTTTAATGCAGTTTTTGTGGTAAAATTAGGTGCCTTGGCTGATATTCGGGTTGGTTTATAATTGAGTATATATGGTAAGTGGGCGAAAGACAAGGCTTTCTAGTCCTGTAAAGCATTAGAGTCTCAGAAACCCACAGAAACAGTTCTACCCCGTCCTCTAGTGTGGCTATGAGTCAGACTATGGCAGTGAGTTTCTGAGTTCATAAAATAAATGAACATGCATGAAAAAACTAACCCCCTTCAGCTTTATCAAAAAGGAAATAAACATACTCCAAGATAATGTGTATTATCCATTAAAAAAACTCACATTGAAAAAAATTCTGAGTAATGGAGAATCAAGTAAAGATTATGACTTTAAAGAAAACCCCTCTAAACCATATAATATCTATCTGGCTGTTTATGATCAATATTAAAGCCTGGCTACCTAGAATCTATGTGTAGAACCTCCTTCTGCCTGCAGAATCCTAAATATTCTAGTGGCTATGGGTGTGAAAACTAAGAAAACAGAGAAATGGGCAGAGATATCTGTTAACATATTCCGCCAATTAACTTTTAAAAAAATATAGTTTAAATCTCTGCTCCTGATAAAAGCATATTTTCTTTACTTAGCATACTGAAGGAGCTTGGTAAATTTTTATAGAAATAGTCCATGAAAAAAAAAAAAAGTTTTTTCTGTCGCCTAGGGCAACAGGGCATAATATATACCAGGAAAGAAGTGGCAGATTGACCTCAATTCTGCCTCGGCCTCTCACCACTGTCAATGTAAACTAGGAAAAGACATGTAAAATCTTTGCGCCTCTGCAAAACAAGGACGATATAGTCTAGCTTGTTCACAGGAGCATTGTGAAGGTTAAAACTAAGTCACGCAGATAAAAGCACTTTTCAAACAAGAACTACACAATGAGATTTAATAGTCATTTTTCAACATTATACCCAATATTTCTAAAAGCTGAAAAGTTTAGAAAAAAAGGTCTGATACTAAAAATAAAGCACACTGGTGCTAATTTATTTTATTAGGACTGAAAGTAATATGCTAAATTCAAAGAGTCAAAATTTTTCAACTTAAAAATTTTAATATTATTAATATTTTACATAATGAAGATCTATTGCTTATTTCTCTAAGTCTTTGGAACTTTTTTGCTAATCTGTGGAAATTTACAAGCTTCTTGTGAAAACTAAGGAATTGCTAATACTGTTAAAACCATCGTGAGAACATGGAGAAAATGGTAGAAAGGGGAGTTATGACAGAAGCAAACTACTTGAAGAGAAAAGCCTCGGGATTGGCTAGGACACCTTTTAATGAATATACAAATGCCGGAAGACTTTACAAGCTAAGGGGTTCTCATAGCCTTTTTTTTTTTTTTTAATGGCTCTTTTGCTCTCACAGAGCAAAATACCTCATAGTTCACCATTAAATGCCAAGAAGAGTAGCAAAAGATGGAAGTTTATAATTGTAGGTTTATGTTTTCATTTGATACATTGAAAATATTTTTTTATTTCTTTTTCCAGTTGTTAAATACCTTGAAGACATTTGTATTCTTCTTTATGGTATATATAATTTTTGAACTCTGAACATTAAGTGTTATACATATTAGTCATATAGACATCATCTATGTCCAACAGTCATGGACATTTAATGCACATTTTATTACCTGAACTCAGATAATAGCAACACGGTAAGACACAAGAAGAACCAGGCAACCAGCTGTTTAAAAAATAGTCCTAGCACTGATTCCTTGCTTCATTTTGAGGAGAATCATTTCACTTTCTGTATCTTTCTCAAATGTTACCTTACCAAATGAAGCTAGATTATTACCTGTCAGGGATATTGCAGAGGGGACCCCTCTGCAGAAAAGATGTTGGGAATACATTTTAGTTTCTGTTACTCTAAGATTCTACAATCCGATTAATACATTGGCCCTAAAATAAAAGAATTAAAGGTGAAAGGTCTCAAGCACCTCAGATGAAATTTACCAAAACAATGTTAAGTGCTAACTTAAAAAAAAAATGTATTTAAGGATTTCCCCCTCCTTTCTCTGCAGATGTTTACCTTTGTCTTTATCCAGTGGTTCCTGGGAAAGAATAGTGCACAGTGTCGGGTTTTTCCACACCCCAGTTTCTTGAGCTAGAGTAGCTAAAAACTTCAATTCACAGCTGCCATTCTCCACCAGCTTTTCATGAGCTACCTAAATAGTAAACAGACAGCCAAAGAATTACAGCACATTTTTTAAAAGCAAGTGTATCAGGTTTTAAAAACTAAATTAAAAAAACAAAACAAAAACTTCCATCTTAAAAATTCCATGTCACATCACAAAATGAACTTCTTTACGTCTGATTTTTAAAAATGAAACTGAAGAAACAAATTATGAACGTTAAATAAGTGAGTATCTTAAAAAAAAAAAAAAAAGAGTATCTTTAGTGACTATAAGCCCCATTTAAATTTAAAATATCTAAACCAAGAACAAAGTTATTTATCAAAGAAGGTATTTAAAGCCTCCAGGATGGAAAAAAAACAACAACAACCTCATGCTTTCTTTTTAACTAACCAATTAGCTAATTTACTTAAGATTAAAATACACCTAACTCAATCTAGTGTTTGAAAAGGAACTAAACATCTGTAATTACCCCATACTAATGTTTGTGGTTCCACATGTGCTTTCAGGTCAGTGAGAAAAAGCTTAAGCTTTGCGGTAAAGAATCTTGTTTCACATAATAACTCTATGACATTAGCTTAAATTTAGATGAATACCATATATACTCATGTATAAGTTGAGTTTTCCAGCACATTTTTAATGCCGTTTTTGTGGTAAAATTAGGTGCCTCAGCTGATATTAGGGTCAGCTTATACTCGAGTATATACAGTAAGTATTTTAAAGTATAAGACTCAGATTCAACTTTAAAATGGAAAAAATATACCTACTTCCATAAATGTTTCATAAAGATTAAAGGAGGTTCTTGAAAAACACAGTGCAGACGTTCATCATTTTAATTAAATTACTTCTAAATCCAAATGAGAATATTTTTTTTTGTGTTTACACAGTGCTTTGACAAATCCCTAATTATCTGATCATAAAGAATAGTACAAAATTCACTCAAACTACCTAAATGGGTATATTAATTTACCAATATTTACTGAGCATCAACTACATATACAAAATATTAGTAGTAATAAGAGTGGCACATTAATGCTTGGCATTACTTAGAGGTTTAAAAGTTTAACCAACTATTTTTAAGAATAAAGAAAACGGACACAAGTTATACTTAGAGGAAGACTAATGGATAAATGTCTCACCTGCACCAGTGTCTGAAATTGCTCCCACTGTTTATTGGATAGCTCAAGTCGCAAACACAATAAAAGCTCAACACAGCTTCTAAAAAACACAATGTTGGTATGGATACAAATTATTATTAAAATCCAATAAAATAAAATGAGTAATTCTAATATTAATAGACTCTTCATACCTAACTTAAAATTAAACTATCTTAAGAAATGTGATACAAAGTTATTTAAAAAAAAAAAAAGCTAAATCTAGTTTTTTTATTTATACAAAGGTCTACTCACAATGCCAAGCGTTCCAGAACCAACGCTACATTTTCACATTCAGAGGTAAGATAAGGTCGTGCTTTAACATAACTTTGGATAGCCACTGTGTATACCTCCAATAAAGGTAAGGGGTCATCTGAAGCTTTCCATTTCTCTGCGTATTCAAGGAGTGTCTGTTTAGAAATGAAGAATAAAAAGTTTTCAGTATAAGTGAAAATATACATTGATAAATTATTTTTCTTTCTACTATGAGAAATCATGAAAGGTAACATTTATAAAAAGAAAAAGTTTAACACTAGTTTAAATATAAAAAAACAAACAAAAATCCCACAGTCATAATACTAGCAGTTCTGTCGAAGAAAAATAAAAGTGTTAACTCATCCAGCATGCATGTGAAGATTGGCTTCAAATAGTGTTTTATCTTCACTACTCTAGTCAAAATGCGACCTCCCGTATTAAATGACGTCCTCTGATTTGGAAGTTATTAAAAGGCAAAACTCAGATAATAAGACATATATTCACTTAGGAACTTCAAAGTGTATTTGTTCCCTTTCTCCCTTTTAAGGAGCAAAAAATTCCATACTTAATTATAAATAAATAACATGGTTAGAATTTATGCATAATTTTTCAATCCATTGAAAAAGTAGTGTTCCTTTAACAATAAATTTTATAATTTATAATACAAAGACCCTAAGCATATATATAAACATCAATAGAAATGATTACACGATCAAGTAATTTTCACAATGGATTATTTAAGATTCCTCACTTTATCCCACAACAAAGTGATTGTTTCAAATTCATCCATTAAAATTAACAAAATATTGCTTATTCTATAGAATGAAGAGATGAAGGAACTATTTAAAGCAGTTTTACACACACACACACACACACACACACACACACACACGAGGGAGTACCCACTAGACGAGCATCAAGCAACTTGCTCTGAGTTACTGCACCTAGTGGCATCATCTGGGAAGGTTCTCTCTGGCCACAGTGAATTTTTTTGTAACAGCAGTTTTTCTTGAACCTTTTTTTTGTGTGTGTGATGGCTGATTTAAGAGAACAGTGTCCTGCTGTGGAAAAATGCCACAAAAACTGTTGTGATGTTGAACACAGCTTACAAGAACAGTGCTATGGGAAACACTCAAGTGGACGAGTGGTTTTCTCATTTCAAAAAAGGTGAAATGTCACTTTTCCTGAATGGATGAAAATGTCAACTCGTAGTGCATTTGGAGTTTGTTCCACCATGTCAGACTGTTAATCACGCTTTCTACTTAGAGGTTCTGAAAATATTGCCTAACTGTGTGTGACAAAAACAGGCCTGATTTGTGACAGATGAGGGGCTGGTTTTGCCACCACAATAATGCACCTGCTCTCACAGCCATCTCAGTGTGCCAATTTTTGGCAAAAAAACAGCATACCTCTCGTCCCACACACCTTACTCACCTGACCTCACTCCGTGTGACTTCTTTCTGTTTCTGCGAATGAAGAGGAACATGAAAGGACAGTGATTTGACATAGAAGAGGTGAAGAAGAAAAAAACATAGGAGGTGCTGTCAGCCATCCAATCAGATGCGTTTGAAAGATGTTTCTAAGAATGGAATTGCAGATTTAACAAATGTATTAAGTGTAATGGAGAGAACTTTGAAGACGATAGGGTTGTTTTGTTTAAAAAAAAATTTAATAGTTTTGAGAAAAATTCCAGGGCTGTGTGTGTGTGTGTGTGTGTGTGTATATAAAGGAAGAACTATGGGTGAGAATTACACCTGCCTGTCAGTTTGCCACACTCTAATGGCGTGCACATAGCTATAAAGTAAAAGCTATGCCACAAGTATTTAAAATAATGGCAGAGTCACGTAGAATGCGAAGGCTTTAGTGAAGCAGCTCTCTCACTATGACAGACTAGGAAGAAAGGCAAACTACTTCGGAAAATTAGACAATGAAAACCTTATGCATCACCATACATGTCTGTCTGATTCAGTGCTAATCATGACCTCCTTAGGTTGGAAGGCACCACAAAATAGCTATAGCCGTAACTCAAAAATACTAGTGATCACGGTGATGCGTAGAACCAAGCAATATATCCTGTCTTGAGTTTTCAATAAGTTGACATTGACAAAATGGTAAGTGACAATATCAAATACTCAAAAAAAAGCTATTACTGCTTTGCCTACTCTGTAGTGAGATGGCACTGCGTCAATTTTGACTCACAGACACCCCGCTTGACAGAGAAGAACTACCACATTGGTTTTCTAGGCTATAATCTGTATAGGAGCTGCTGGCAGTGCCAATTGATGAATTTTCAAGTTAGCAGGTAAGCATATAGCCAATGCATCGCCAGGGCTCCATCTTGCACTCTCTATTGACCTCTAATTAGTTGAAGTAATTAGTACTCCAAGAATGGAAGGAAGGAGAGAATGAAGAATAGAAAGGACGAGCTCGTAACTAAAGAACAGCACAGGAAGAGCTCCTCCCACTCATCTGTCAGCTGTTGTACTATAGTGGCTATATGTTGTGATGCTGAAAGCTATCTCAAAAAACAGTAGTCACCCACGGTGAACAGGTTTCAGTGGGTTTTCCTAAGAAAGGACTGGGAAGAAAGAACATGCTGTCTTACTTTTGAGTGATTAGCCACTGAAAACCTTATGAATAGGAGAACACTGTCTGTTATAGTGCCAGAAGTTGACTCCCTCAGGTTGGAAGGCACTCAAAATACCACTGGGAAGAGCTGCCTTCTCAAATAGTGTATACCTTAATGATGCAGATGAAGCAAATCTTTCAGGACTTTCATTTACTGAAGGGGCATGTCCTAAAATGAGAAGAAACAGACGCAAATATCCATTAATAACCAGAATGTGGAATATATGAAGTTGGAAATTGTCAACAATGAAATAGAAAGCATAAAAATGGATCATAGGTGTTAGGGAGCTGAAATAGAATAGTATTGGCTGTTTTGATGCTCCTTAGAAGTGAGGAGGGCAGGATTGAATTTTATGAGGCCAATGGCTTTTTTCATGGTAAATACTTGAGTATACATGTGGACATTTGAAAGACATTCTGCATATGACAATTAACCAAAAAGAAAAGAGGTTGGCCTGCTGTAACAGGAGGTCTACCACTGACATTATTCATACAGGAGTAAGACATTCAAGAATTTGGGGGTTAGGGATGATGCAAAGGAACCTAGGAGACACAGTCTATCATATCTGAGGAGACTACAATGGCCAGTGAAAGGGAAAATGGATATGCTCAGGTGGTTTTACTGATGTGTTCACATCAATTAAAAAATACGCCAGTTAGTTTCTTGTATTTAAAAATCACAAGAGTTACACTTGAAATTGTATTTCTGGCTTTTCTTTTAAAAAGTTGAGAAATTTGGGGCAACTTAGGGCCCATGTTCCATGATGCGAACAACCTAATGAGCTATTTCACTGAGACTATGTACAGTGCGGTGGATTACTTATGGCTCTTCTGTCTGTGTTTTACTCCCATCAAATGACTTTTCCCTGATAAGTCTGGATAAGAAGGTAGAGGAAGATGCTTATTTGATTGTATGATTCAGCTGCCACTGATTGTTAGCAGGTTAAAATGATTGCCATTCTGGTGTGTATAAAATAAGCCATCTCAGAAGCAGGGCGTGGGGACTCACTACCAGGGAGAGAGGTCAGCAAGGAGTGGAGAGTGTCCTTTGGCCCCTGCATCCGGTCAGCTTCACTGCCTGATGCGGTTTCACCAGCTTTCTCAGCCTTGTGGATGAGGAGGGTCCTCCAATTGGACGTTCAAACTTTAGATTTGGGACTTACAAGCTATCTGAGCCATTTCCCTTCACGGTGTGGCTATTGCAGTGAACTGCAGAATTCTGCGATATAAGGGAGTATACTACGGGGCAGAGTGGTGGTTGACAAAAGGGATTATGGGGTGTATAGCATTTTTGAAAATTTGGGCATTGGGACTAATCTTGTGTTAATTTTTCTAAAAGAAATTGTATTAAGTTTTCTGAAAGAGGCACCAGGCATGGACTTTCTGGCTGCTGTGTGCTCACCTGGCTGCCTTACTCTTCAGGGATCATACTGGACTTCTACAAGTATTGTGATTACAGTCTGTACTATGTGGTATATATCCCAGCAAGCTTGGTGGGAGAGAGAAATACAAGCAAAAGAATAGTTACAAAGATCATGCTCTAAATAGGAAGCATTAATACAGCATTTCTCAACCTTTTTTTCGTCTTATTTTTCTCCATTATTGACAAAAAAATGCTAAGAAGCTTTTTGGCTTTTTCCTAATATCCCATACCTAAATTTAATTTTAGTACCCCAAATATATATCTGCTTGGGCCATAAGCCACTGTGATATCCAAGGATTTTTTCCTCTTTAAAGAACAATTTTCACCCCCTTAAAGACAAAAATAAACACTCTAATCATGTAGCTCTGAAATTGAGTTCTCACCGATATCAGCAAAGAATAGTACACATATAGTATTGGGAGAAAGAGTAGAGAGTAACTTCTAGCTGCTTCATTTTGTTCCTCTAAAGATTACTGGGAGAAAAAACAACACAGGAATAAACTCACATGGGTTTTATACTTAACGATCACGGGATTAAATATTATTGTCCTGTGCAAAGGTTAGTGGGGTGTTGAGATAATTTATATTGTTGTACTCATGTTTCAGTCCCAATTTTTAAGTAAGATTTTAGAGCAGAAGTCCACAAATAATTTGCTATCATAACACTGCACTCTCACAAATAGAATTAAAATGGAGATTACAAAATAAACACTTCCAAATGTACTTATATTAATTTATACTAATAAACCCATCATATAAATATAGCAAGAAATTTTTAATGGGGAGGAAAAAGTTTATTTCCCCACCGGGAAACAGTGAGAAGAATGGTATTGTTTTACATTTTCCAGACGTAACAGAAAAGAGCAAGATTCTCCTTTCTGCTTCTGCATTCTTTTTCACAGTATCACCATCACATAACCTAAAGAAGTCCACTGTTAATGAATGACAGAATGTGAATGAAAAAGGGAAACACCACCGTACAGTTGTGACCTGTTGGACCGCCTCACACTTTGTTGAGTATGCTATACTCTTAGGAGATAAACTCATAACAGCTCAGATATTGGAATGGTGGCAAGAGAACACTTTTAAAAGTAAGAAGGCAAA